ACATTCCATATTAAAAATAACTTATATAAAATACATAACATTTTTAGTAGATGGGAGTTAACTCTTTTTGGATAAAAAACAGACTAAATTAACTCATTTAAAAATAGGATGAGTTTAATTCTAAACTCTAACACAGATTCGAAGATTATTCGGGCGACGGTATCTTTTCTTCATTATTTTCTCTAGGTAAAACAATAATTCCAAAAGTAGCTAGCTTTGTTGCAAAAAACAAATCACTCATTTCAAGCGGAGCGAAAGCCATCGGCTCAATCGCTGAAGCTGGAAAGAGTATAAGCGACACAGTGAAACAATCTAACGACTTGAAAGAATTAGAACTAATAAGAGAACTTCGAAACAGGAGATTAGAAGAAAGGAAAGGAAAAGGTTTTAAAGTTATAGGATAAAAATGATTGTCGCTCACGCTCCAAAAACTTATTTCGGTTCAGGAGATATACAAAAATCATTGGGTTCTCTTCCTGGATTTCCATGGGCGAAATATCCCGGAGAAAAACATCTTCCCGGTCATAATTATACAGGTCCAGGCACAAGGTTAGATCTACGATTAGACGAGAACGATTAACCCAATCCGGGCGAAGAACCAGTCAATAGAGTTGACGCCGCTGCGCTTAAACATGATATTTTATACAGAAATAAAGACATAACATCCAGACACGAAGCAGACAAACAAATGATAATAGAACTTGAAAATATTCCAAATCCAACTTTCAAAGAGAGAATGGAAAGAGCATTAATCATTAAACTGTTAAAAGCAAAGATGAAATTAGGCATGGGATTGGCGGATGAAATTCATAAAGAATTTAGAAAAACTAAAAACTTTTAAAAGTCAAAGTGTTTAAAAAAGATGAAATATGGTCAGCCGATTTAATTCATATGCCAGTCGAAAGGGGATTTAAATATTGCTTAACAGTTATAGATTTATATACGAGATATGCATGGGTTATTCCTTTGAAAAACAAAACGGGATTATCAGTCAAACACTCATTTGAAACGATTATGAAGCAATCTAATCGTCATCCAGAAAAACTGTGGGTAGATAAAGGAAGTGAATTTTATAACAAAAATATGAAATCTCTGGGATTTGAAATTTACAGTACGCATAACGAAGGTAAAGCTGTAGTTATTGAAAGATTTAACAGGACTCTAAAAAATAAATTATTCAAAAAGTTCACGGAATTGAAATCTCAAAAATGGCTTAAAATATTACCAGAGGTTGTAGATGAATACAATAACAAAATTCATTCATCTATAGGTGTCACACCAACACAAGCCTCGAGTAATCCAAATATTATAATTCAATTAACGCGCAACATAACTACGAAAATGAAATAAAGAATTTAAATATCAAACCCAAATTTAAAGTCGGAGATCGAGTTCGTATTTTCAAATATAAAAGTAAATTCGAAAAAGGTTACGTTGGATACTGGACGAACGAAATATTTATCGTTGATAAAGTAAACACCACATCACCTCCGACATATGAATTGATCGATCAAGACAAAGAACAAATCATAGGTAGGTTTTATCAAAATGAACTACACAAAACCGACTTTTAAAAATGAACAATGAAGAATTTGATAGAAGATTAAGAGATGTAGACAAGCATTTACGCTTTAAATTTTTTAAATTTAAATGCAAATCTATGTTCAAAATATTATTGAATGTGTTTTATCAGAATGTAATACAAGTTTTTTCAAACACAAACTACGTATATATTTAAAAAAAACCGACTTTTAAAAATGAATGAATTTCTCGATAAATATGGAACCGATACAACCACAAACTTTCAACTCATGAGATGGGCGAATGAGTTAAATATATCACCGTTTTATTATTGTATGAGAGATGAAATAAATAAGGTTAAGAAAGGTAAATTTTACGCTATAACAAATATACATACTTCCGATCAAAAAGGAGTTCATCATTCTGCTTTGTACAAAGACTTTGACTTTTATTTCTTCGATTCTTATGGATTAGAACCCACTGAAGAGATAATCCAATTGACTAATAAACCAATCAAATGTTCGACATTTCAAATTCAATTACCGGGACAAAAGTTTTGTGGTCAGCTTTCACTTTGGGTTTTATATCAGTTGAGTTTAGGAAAACAATTCGAAGAAATTATAATAAATTTAACTTAATAAAAATGGCGAATAAGTTTGGATTAGGTTCTTTATCTTTAGAAACCAAAAAACCTAACACAACAGCGTGGATAAATAAAGCCAAACCTTACTTCCTGGATCAAATCGGAGACACTCTTCAAGGTGATTTAGATATGAACAATTTTAGCATAACTAATTTAAAGTCTCCGGAAAACAATAATGATGCCATTCACAAGAAATATTTAATTGAACAATTAAATTTAATTGAAGTAAATAAAAACCATTTAAACGAAAGAATAGGCGATGTGAAAAGATTCTTCAAACGTCAACTAAATAATAAAGATTTTATTGATGATACTAAATTACAACAAGAAGTAACAAGTTTAAAAAATTTTATTCAACAACAATTAGTCAATGTAGTAGATAAAACTCAATTACAAACTTTAGATGATAAGATTACAAAGCAAAAAATAGATCTTAAACAACTAATAGCCAATATTAATCCAGGTATAAGTGAAGACAAATTATCTGCATTAGAAAGTAAACTTAGTGATGATAGTGAAATACAAAAACAAATAGTCGCAACAACAATTAATCAATGTAGTAGATAAAACTCAATTACAAAATTTAAGTTCATTTATATCTAATTTAGATGATAAGATTACAAAGCAAAAAATAGAACTAATAGATATAAGTGAAGACAAATTGCAACGAGAATTAACTAATCGCATTAGAAAAAAAGTTTCTCAAGAAAGAATCATATTATTTCAATATTCCATTTAGATTTTTGGGTTTTCCTAGTGGTTCTATTACTGATAATATTGATAAATCAAAAGACTATCGATATAAAACATATGGATTTACAACAAATATTAGACTATATTCTACTCCAAATTATCCTATTCTTCCCAAAAAAAATTTTGATGTTAATTATCCATATATTTTTAAATTTCGAGGAAAACTTACAATTGAAATAACATTTCCTATACAGGTAAAAGTTGATTCATTATTCTTCAGACAAAACTCAATATCATCTAATAAATTTAACGCTCGTAAAGTTCTTCAGTTTATCAATGGTACAAAAAATGTAGAAACTAAAGAATTAGAAATTAACGACAAAAACAACAAGATTAGTCACTTACATGAAATTAAAACGAATGGACAATATATAGATAGGATTAGAATGTTAATCATACCAGATAATGAAAAAGATGAATTTACATTGAGTGATTTTGATATGTTATTGGAGACTGAAACTCCACCATCAATGAATATTATTAGAAATCCAGAACCACAAAAAAAAGATATAAGCAGATATCTTTTTTTACGAGCAACAGACTTTGAATACGTAAAACTATATTTTGTTGATAATGATATATTTACCTCACTCGATATTCATAAAAGTCAACAAAATCAAAATTTTTTAATAAGAGATGATGTATTTGTTAAAATATTTGTCTCTATTGAAAAACCAAAATTTTCAGTTCATCTGAATAAGATTAATGATTCGAAAGAACAAATATCATTAGTAACTGTAACAGTTAATAGTAAAGCAGCTATATCAGAAGTTCACTTAATTTAATTACCTAAAAATGGAACTCGAAAGTAGACAAAACTACATGATAGAAAAACAAAATGAACTAAAAGAAAAACTAAAACAATTCAACAAATGTAGAAAAACATGGAGTAGAATCGATTCTGTTTTCAAAACATTAAGTACAGTTTTAACAATAGGGATAACGGTGGCAACAGCCGTAACCGGTGGATTAATGCTCCCAATCATCGTCCCAATTAGCCTCGTTCACTGCCGTTCAAACTTCATCTTGTGGTTTGATTACTTTAGGTTTTACATCAAAACAAAAAGCTTATTATAAAAGGAAAACAAAAATTTTAAATACATATCTTAATAAATTATTCATTTTTTTCGAAAGATCGAGAGAGGATAAGAACATAACCATTGAAGAATTCAATGAAATTTTAGATAAATTTGATGTAGAAATATCATCAATAAAAGTTAAAATTCCTAGTTAAAAATAGTTGCTTTAAAAATATGAATAAATTTATATCACGTGTTCTTTTTTCCAATGTTATTGAGCATATCTCTGACGTTTTTTAATCATTTAACGGACAAATTGAATTAGATGGAAAGATAACTCAAGATGGAAAATACATACAGGACATAAAATTTGTAGGTTCTGATCGCATAACTTTTGTCGAATTCTTCATGTCGCTGAATGGTAATCATGCTAATTCGAATATTTCTTATTGGTATTTCACAGGAACAATGATTTTCCATAAAAACCCTAGTGGTAATCAAAGCTCATTATAATTTTTTTTTTCGAAAAATTCCTAGTTAAAAATAGTTGCTTTAAAAATATGAATAAAATTGAAATTGTAGACGATAAAAAATTCATATCAATGAAAATTTTAGACGATATCTCTGATGAATTAGAAAATAAATTCATATCAAATAAACTTTTTTCCGATGTTATTGACCTTATCTTCTGATGAATAACATTTAAAGGGCAAATTGAAATAGTTGGAGAGATAACTCAAGATGGAAAATACAAACAAGACATGAATTTGTAGGTTTTAATACCAAAACTTTT